GAATTACTAGGTTTCTCCTTTGAAATACTGACCTCTATAAAATTGAAGTTTCTTAATCTCCATTCTAGAAACAAATTTGTTTCCTTAGCTTCTGATGTGTTGACAGTTTGCTAATGATATCTTCTAACTCTAGAGGGGATTGTTGTTCGCTTCTGTCTTAGACAAAATGATGTCTGGGGTCCCTTCCAACTCTGAGGTTCTGTGATTATTTTTTTCAGACAGCTTGAAAGCTTTCTTTGTTGCCAAGCATGCAGAGGAAATAGTCTACAACTTCCTTCACCTTTGCTTCAGTGTCAGAATCAAACAATAAATTTTGTTAACAATGCATGTTTATAAACCCACGCCCTCTCCAGCCCCACCTCCCTACCATTGGGCATGTAAATATCATTCTCTGTAGTAAAAAGTTCCTCCTCTGCTCCTCATTAATGTATTCTAATAGTATGCCAAATTCTTCGCTTAAAAAAATTGTTCTACCTTTCTGCACGTAAGGAGGAAAAGTTTTATCACCAAGATACAGAGATACAGATATGATACAGAGATACAGAGATGATTTGCCAACCATCCCATTTACCCATTTATATTTTTCTTTCACTGATGGAATGCATCATCATGAATCATCCACCAAGTTGGGAAATCCAAATTTAGTTGGAGGTGACTGAACTCATCAGAGTGATAACACTGGGGTTGTGGGAAGAGGGCTGCAATTGAACTTAAATGAACTAACAATACGAAAATCTGAAAGAGCAGAGCCTTGTTGACTGTACACAAAGCACAATTTTATAATAGTCTTTGATGGCCCCACTTCCTCTGTGGATTTTGTCAGAAATAGCTTTTGTCTGAATAATTGTTCCCAGAGGTAGAAAGTCTACAAACTAAATCCACTAGTAATATTTGTGCTCGTGTATGAATTTCTGACATTTGTGGTATAGTTAGTCAGGCAGATATCCATTTGTATCAAGAATTAAGGAAATGAATTAGCCTTAATTAATTTTATCTTAATGTATACAATCTTTAACAAACAGTACATAATACTTAGGCAGTTAGGTGGCATAGTAGATAGTGCTGGACTTGGAGTCAGGAATTCCTGAGTTTTGAATTCTACTTCAGACACTTACTAGCTGGGTGATGCTGGCAAGTCAGTTTCCTTAGCTGTAAAATGGAAAAATAGTATCACCTATGGTCCATCCAGAGTTGTTGTAAAGCTCAAATAAGATTCTACATATATGTGTGTATACATATATGAAATATTTTGCAAAACTTAAGACTCTATAGAAATTTTAGTTTATTGTTATTGTTAATAGCAGTAGTAGTAGTAGCAGCAGCAGTAGTAGTTGTAGAATGGCCACTTATTGGGTAAGTTGTAGTGAGGATATGGCTTGTACTAGATGTCTTGCTGAAGTCCTTTCCAAGTCTGAAATTCAGTGATTGGGCTATTAAGAAAAAAAAAACCCAAAACCACAACAGCTTTTTCTCTTCCCCCGGACCCCTTCCCCAACTCCAACCAATAGCAGAAGTAAAAAGAAATAGATACTATACAAGGTTCAAGAAAAGTATTGTGGGGACCATTTATCCAGTATAGAAGTGAAGAAAACTAGAGTAATTATCTGGGTAATTTAAAGCAGAAACTTTCAACTCACCCTCTCAACTGAATGATTTATAATGATGAAGCCAAAAGTGAGATTTTTTTTTTTGAGGAGTAGGGACTTGATAATATTGGTAATTGGTTCAGTTCTGTGCTTTATTTTGACTGTGGAGACTTGGCTTGGAAGTGAATTGTTCCTTTGTGTGAAGTGATGAACTCCCTAAGGTACCATTTAATGTCCTGAAAGAGCTAATTTTCTAAATGATTCCCTTGTGTCCTGGAAGACTCAGTTCATTTCACGTGAGCGAGCACTTTGTCCTCAGGGACTAGTCTATTTTTTCCATTTCCTGATAGGCTGAGACCTAGAAAGGCTGAGATAAGAGTCTGAATAAATGTCATTGCAGGTGGGTGCAGCAGCAAGTGATGGGAGAAGGGCCCTGATTTTATTGAGATTGAAAGACAATGTTGTTACATCTAGAATTGAGTTAAGTCTTGGCTGCACTGAGCTGGGGTCTTTGGGCACTCGGGATAAGCCTAGAAGTGAAGGATATTTTCTCCCAGAGATGACTATGTGCTCTGCCTCTAATAACCTATACCAAGTTCACCTTAGACCTAGTATGGTACAATGAACTATCACCAGATATATGAGACAGTGTGGTATACTTATTAGCTGTGTGACCTTATGTAGGTCATTTAACCTCAGTATTCCTCAAGCAATCACTAGGACTGCTCTACTAGAACACTAGATTTGGAGCTAGAAGTGATCTCAGTGGTCATATAGTCCAGCCTCTTCATTTTATAGATCAGATGTTCCCAAACTCATTTGGCTTACTGCTCCCTTTTAAAAAAAAATTGCTCAGCACTCCTCTGTAAATCTACTTTCTTTAACCCTTTAACAGTTTTTTAAAAATTGCATCATTTCAAAAAATATAAAATATTTAAAAAATAACGCATACTAAATTTAATAATTTATTGTAAATTTGTGGGGTTTTTCCTGCCTTGAAATTTTGATGATGCAATATAGTGTCATGCAACCATATAGTAGCATATTGTAAACAAGTCATTACACACACATATTCCTGCTGATGCATGCTGGACTTCCTGACAATGTGTGACACGCTCGCTTACCAACACTTGCTTGTAAAGACCTGTTGGCAGACTTGACCACTGATTGGTTATAACTTGGATTTTGTGTGTTTATTTGGAAAATATTGTAATCACTATGACTTTAACTGTTACACAACAGATGAAACAAGTACCAACAGTTTTTCAAAAAAATTTTTATATTCTCTTCTTTCCTTATGCTTTAACCACCCCTTTATTTTATTCTATGCCCTCCAATTGTACCTGAGGCTACTACCACCCTCCTACCTTACTGGATCGTTCCAGCACCGCCTCCCCTCCCCGGGGGTGGTTTCATCCACTTTGGGAACCTATGTTATAGATGAAGCCTAGAGAAATTAAGTGACTTGCCCAAGGTCACAGAGGTAGTAAGTGGAGTCAGGACCCCTGATTCCAAATTTAGGTCTCTTCCTGTTGTATCATGCTACCTCACAACATATATGGTCAACCCTAGGAAGTTGGGGTAGAGGTGGCAATTGACACAATGACAGATCCTTTGCCTAGCAATCTCTGATACTCAAGATAATGTCAAAAGCCTATGGCACCTTCACTCTGTTTCAGTATACAGTCTCTGATCTACCTGAAATTACATGCCAACAAGAAGTTCCCTTTAAAATAATAAACTACTAGGAAGTATTCACATAATTCTTTAGGTGAGACGTTTGTCAGGACAATATTCTAGTTGGCCTATCCTATCACATTCTTCTTGGTTTTCCCCACTACATACATTGCCTAATGCCTCTGATGCCTGGGACTGCCTCTGCTCCACATGGATGTCCATGATTATTCAAAGGGCAGCACTAATTATCTACTTAACGATATATTTAGTGATGAATGCTCCTTGTGCAGATATGATCCCAGATGTGAAGATACCAAATAAAGCAAATGAAGACTATGCAGCTGGACTGGATATATTCTTAGAATGAGAGATTAGATTGAGTCAAAATGAGCTTTGGAATCTGTGAGATCATATTAGACTGAGGTTATTGAATCATAAAAGGCTCCTCAGAAATCATCTATCCCAAACTCTTTTTTACAGAGAATGAAACTGGTTTATTAAATCAAGAGATTTAAATACCAAGTGAAAATAATAGCTAACATTTACATAGCACCTACTATGTGCCTGGAACTGTGCTAAGTATTGCCAAAGTCATGCAGGTAGTATCAGTTGTAGGATTTGAACCCAGGGCCTCCGCCTCCAGAGCCAGTATATCTTTCCATTTGGAAAGTGACCCTTAGAATCCTGAGTCCAATGTCTTTGTACTGTCATACATACATATCTTCTCTTGAATCAGGAGGGTCTGTACAATAATGCTAAGATTTCCCTAGCTTAACTTTTTTTATTAAAAGAGAAAAGAAAGAAAAAGTATTTCATTAAATCATGTTAAAAATAATCTTAATTATTATTTAAAAACCAAAACCAAAACTCCATTCAGTCTTCAGCCTTCCCTGATATGACCATGCAAGTAATTAAGGTTTGAATTTAACACTCTTCTATGAAATGGTGTTAGGAAAGGTTATCCTCTTAGTTTTCCCTAAGTGTTTGGAGACACACTGAAATGTATAAAACATGGAATCTGTTCTATAACATTTACTGAGGAAAAGCCCAAAGGGTGAGAATGTGGTCCCGGTGAACTGCTGCGACCCCTAATGAGTCTACAGTCTCTTCTGAGAATGTCAAGCAGAAATCCCCAACGCTAGCCTGTACTTAGTGCTTCAAACAATAATTACCTCACCAGAGTGAAATCACCCGAAGACCATAAAAGGATTTGACAGTTTCCCCACGATCCTTCGCAGAGGCAGTAGCAAGGTTGTGCAGAGAGGGCTGTGGCCACTGATAACTCTCTCACTCAGCTGCTGAGGAGCTCAGAAAAGCCTGCCCCAAACTTTTCAGCTGTTGACAAGCTTGACTTGCTGAGAACACTGGTTAAATATAGCCCAAGCGAGCCCAGCTCCACAAAGTCATTGCTCGAACAGTGTGGGAAGCAGAGAACAAGAAGAGGGGGAAACATAATCTCAGAACCAAACTGCGGGAGCCAAACAACACCTAGCAACAGTTGAAAAAACTTTTAAACAAAAGTCTGGGTGGGAGACTTCAGAGAGTACGACCTCCTGTCTCTGCTGATTGGGGTTCCGGGGAGACGAAAGTTCATCTCTTCTTCTTTTTTCTTGCTTCCCTGCATGACTTTATCTGCTGCTTAGACAGACTTAGGGGAGTGGGGAAAACCCATTGCTGTGGATTTCACGGGGCAGGAGAGTTTTCTTGGACTTCCAGCTGCTTTGTGCTGTGGGACAATTCACCGGACTTCTGGAAGGATAAGCTGTCACTCACCAAGGAACCTAGAGAACTACTGTCAGGTAAGACAGAAAGGGCTCATTACTCTTTTGTGTATATTCCTATAAGGGAGGAAATTTTTCATAGATTTCAATTTATCTGATGCTGCCTTTTAGTACTCACTGTTCTATTATATGTGATGATAAGTTTATGAATGATATCCTTTTGTGAGTTATGGTAAAACATCCAGATACATCATGGTCTCTCTGTTGAAAAAAAATCCCGTACTAGTCACAAAGCTTTGGGTCTGTGTAATTGTTAATTGAAATAAAAATATTGATTCTAATTTATTACTAGACAAAGACCAGACTATTAAGAAAAAAATCAGACCATTTAACCCCCTTTCACAATATTTGGAGGGAATTACAAATGAAATCTTTCCCCACCCCAATCCAAGCAATCAGAGACTTTACAGTTACTAAAACTAGCTAGCAGTCCATGTGGTAAATGAGAGGAAATTCCCACATGGGGTCTGTATTGCTATTCTCATGCCTTGTTGCTTTCTGCTTCTCCTTTGGCCTGATTCTCTGATTACATCGGTACACCTTGTGCTATTGGTTCTGACCTCATGACAGTCTCACCCCATATGCTTCTTTCTGCCTGGGCTGTGACCACAGTCAGTATTGAATCACTCCCTGATTCTTCGGTAGTAGAGGGGAGACATTCAAAAAAGTATCTGAAAGGTTGTTTCAAACTGGTTGCTCACCAGTTGGGTAATTGTTTACATAGGGCTGTAACAAATCCCATTCCTTTCAATTCACAAACAGAATTGAATTTAAGTCATGATCCTTTCATAAGCTGTTTGGTTTTTTTTTTTTTGGCCTATCTTAATCTGAGAGAAACCTGAGTTTTTCCTGTGAGGACGCTCTTTCCTGTTTCATGAATTGTCATGTATTTTTTGTTTTAATCAAGAATTGCTTCTTGTGTTCCCCATTGAATCCTAGAAAATCTTTTGGGCTATATTGGGCAATTGTAAGCTATTGGGAGATCTAACTCATTGTATTCATTTAGAAGAGTCGTTCCACAAAACAGGACACAAGCCCAATTATCTGAATAGCTGTTCTGTGCCAAGTATAATATTAAAATGCCTAAGGATATATGAAGGATTAGACTTAAAGGTGGAAGGGCCACTGAAGGTTCTTCGAAGTGCTCTAGGAGTTCTCATTTTATAGTTGAGGAAGCAGAGGACCAGAGATATTAACTGATTTACTCCAGGTCCTCAGAGCTTAGATTTAGAGCAGAAAGAAACCTTCAAGCCCTTTTTAGCCACTCCTCCAGTCCCATTTTACAGGCGAGGAAATTGCTCAGTGTCACACAGGTAGTAAGTGACAGAGCTGGGATTTGAACCCAGGTTCTCTGATTCTAAATCTGATGTTCTTTCAATTGTATCATGATGGTATCTGTTTAGTTAAAGAAAAGGAATTGATCTAGAATTGACTCTGAAGAATATGTGTATGTGTTTGGAAGTAAGAATGAACTAAGCCCCTGAATGAATTTTTCCATCTTTATGAGGCTAAATAATTTTTTGTTATGATTTTAGGAAAATCAGGGCATTTATTATACTAAATTCATTTTAGCTATTCTTAATCTAAAACTGCTTAAAATTTAGGATTCCTTAAACTGTTTGTAAGGTGAATAAATCTAGTCATATACAAACAGCATGTATTTATATCTTTATCTATAGCTATATAGGTATCTGTAGCCACATCAGTGGTGAATTTAGCACCAATGGGTGATCCTCACAGTGGAAGAGACAATATGCTTTGGTTATGAAAGAATTTCGAAAAGGCAGAACTAAATGCTTTACATTTCTACTTGTTTATATCTTAGGAAGGGTCACATTGTTGGCTTAAGTATGTGCACTTGGGCCAAATCTTACCACCCGTTCCAGGAATACAATTCCTTTTGAAGTCCATTAAGCAGTGCATGTGTAACTAAATGCAGAGTTTGACCCAAATTGAAGGCTAGGTTTCCTGAAAGACAGGGCAGCACAAGTGAAGGTCTGAGGAGCAACACTGTTGTTTTATCCTTGCACATCAAAAGATCTCAAGTGAAACCACATGATTTTCTACAATAAATGAATGCCAAGATCACATAGTACACGATTTTTCTTGTGTTTTTCCATAGATCATTAGTAACCCAGAAGTGACCTTTTCCATCCTCTCTGAAACCTGAAAATGTGTGATTTCTTGGTATGAGTTAATGTATTGCCTATGTTGATTAGAATATTCATGAAACAAATAGTAGTAGATAGCCTGAGAATCACCCATGTATTTTCTGACACAACTAGGTCATAGTTAATTTATTCTATACTCCCTTAACAATCCATGGGCTCTGGGAAATCAAGTCAAGAGCTTACATTTTTATAGATCTTGCCATCTGTACTTACAACTGCTCTGATTCTGGTTTTGTTTTTGTTGTACAATCAAACAGTGCCATCATTCCCATAACCAATGAGATCTGATAGAGCAGAGTTATCTTTGACTTCCGCCTTGCCCCTTAACATTGCCCTGCATATTGAAGCAGTTCCTAAATTCTCTTAGTTTGAGCTATCTTTCTTGTCCTTCTCAGTTCTTCCACTGGTAGTCCAGGCACTTGTTACTTTTTGCCTAGTTTATTTTAGGAGTCTTTGATCCATTCTCCTTTCTTCAAGAATCTTCCTTATTCTAATCCTTCTTGCATGTAACTGCCAGATTAATGTTCCTAAGGCACTGCTATGATTGTACACATGCACAAAAATCTTCAGTGCTTAGCCATGGGCTTTGTCATGGATTAGCAGTGTGACCTTGAAAATTTCTATTAAATTCATTTTAATTCAACATGCATTTATTAAGCAGTTGCTATGTGCTCTGGGCATAAAAAAATGAAAAAAGTATTTGCTCTCAAGGAGCTTATATTTTAGGGGATAATAGCTTACATTCATATGGAACTTAAGTTTTTAATGTACTTTACATAAATTATCTAACTTGATCCTCATTTGTCTTATAAAATAAGAACTATTATTACCCCCATTTTACAGATGAGAAAATTATCCCTCAGAGAGGCTAAGACTTGCCATGCAACTGGTACGTCTTATGCAATTTGAACCCAAGTGCAAAACTTTGTCTTTATCTCTGTTAAATTTCACGAAGCCATTCATTCTAGCCTATCAAGATGCTGATTCTGCCAACCAGACTGTTAGATTTGTTTCCTAACTTTGTGAATTTGATGGGTACTGATAAAATAAATTGAAGAGAGCCTGGTTCAGATCAGAATTTTGAAACATTCCAATAGAACTTTCCTTTCAAATTAACATCCATACATTAATCATTTTTTGGAGTTCATCAATCAATCAATAAGTATTCATTTATTAAGTACCTACCATATTCCTGACTCTGGATATGAAGACAAAATGGATTAATCTGTGCCCTCATGGGGTTTCCAATTAATAGTATTACTGTAAAGCCTGTCTGTTTCCATCTTACCTACTAGGATAGCAATAGAGACTTTGTCAAATATCTTGCTGAAATCCTGGTATACAATGTCTATAAATATTTTTCTAATTTACCCTTCTAGTAACTGTCAAAGAAAGGAAATTAATGTAGTTTGTCATGACTTGTTTTTAATGATCTCCTGCTGCTTTTTAGTTATCACTTCTTTCTCTTCCATATGCTCACAAGCTACACATTTAATAATCACTTCTAAAAATTTACCAATAATTGACATCAAGCTCATTAACCCATCACTTAAAGTATTCACTTTCTTGCCTTTTTTAAAAAAAATAAGATAAAGTCTCTCCCTCTCCAGTCTCAAAACATCTTTGCTGTTCTTTGTGATTCCTTAAAGAGTACTGAGAACATGGTTCAACAATAGTACTTACAAGTTTCCCCCTCCCCCTAGAACTTGGGATGTAATTTGTCTGTTCCAAGTGACTTTAACTCATTTGGAGCAGGAAAGAAGGAAACAAACATTTATTAAGCACCTACTATAGGCCAGGCTCTGTGCTATGTGCTTTATAAATATTACCTCATTTGATTCTTGCAACAACCCTAGGAGGTAGGTGCTATTAGTATTAACATTTTACAGTTGAGGAAACTGAGGCAAGCAGTGATTAAGTAATTGCCTAGGATCACATAACTAGTAAATATCTGAGGCTGAATTGGAACTCAGATCTTTCTGACACCAGGCCCAGTTGTTCTATTCTCTAAATCACGTCCCCTAGCTACTTGTTTTTCTCTAGTATTTGCTCCACTTTTCCAAAAACCTTAACCTGACACTTAAGGCCCTGTAGGATCTGATCCTAATCTATGTTGCTTCTTCTTATCTCTTGCTACTTTGTAGCAGAAACCTGAAGTTTTAGGTAACCTGTACTATCATCATTGCCTTGAATGATGCATTTTTCTACCTCACACTTTTGTCTATGATATTTCATCTGAAGTTCCTTTCTTATCAGACTTTGCCTATCAGAATCATACCTTTCTTTTAAGACCCAAATCAATTATCACTCATTGCCTAATACCTTCTCGGACCATCCCTCACTGCCACTCTTCAAGAATGACTTATCCTTCCCTAAATATCTGTAGCACTTTGTAATCATTTGGCATTTATCCCAAATTGTTTTGAATGTTTTATCTCTCTTATTAGATTAAAAGCCAAGTAAGGGTAGGGACTATACTTGTGATAACTTCATTCCAGCACAGTACTTAATTCAGATACTTATACATGGTGTAGTTGAAAGAGCCCTGATCTTTTAGTCAAACAACATGACTTCAAGTCTGCTCTACCACTTGCTAGCTATGTAAACACAGACAAGTCACCTAACCTCTCCAAGACTCGGCTTTTTTATCCATAAAATGGGATATAATAAAATTTGTATTCATTTCTCATAAGATTGTGGTTAGCAAAGTATTTTACAAATCTTAAAGTACTTTGTTGAATCAACATTTACCAACTCCATTTCCTATCATTTTTGATGAATATGTTTTGGGTCCTTGACAATGAGCAAGTCAGAAAGAAAAGAGATGTGTAAAATTAAGAAATGGAA